GAGGGAGAGAGAAACATCAATGATGAGAGAACATCATGGATCGGCTGCCTCCTGCACGCCCCCTACTGGGGATCGAGTCCACAACCCGGGCATGTGTCCTGACAGGGAATTGAACGGTGACCTCCTGGTTCATAGGTCAACGCTCAACCACTGAGCCACTGTGGCCGGGCTGAACTGAACATTTTAAATAGGTGAATTGTGTGATATGTGACATATCTCAACTTTAAAAAAACAGAAGGGAGCCCTAGCCGGTTTGGCTCAGTGGATAGAGCGTCGGCCTAAAGACTAAAGGGTCCCAGGTTCAATTCCGGTCAAGGGCACATGCCAGATTTCGGGCTCAATCCCCTCCCACCCCCTGCCTCAGTAGGGGGTGTGCAGGAGGCAGCTAATCAATGATTCTCTCTCATCATTGATGTTTCTATCTCTCTCCCTTCCTCTCTGAAATCAATAAAAAATAAAAGTAGAAAACAGAGGGGAAAATTCACACACACACACACACACACACCATGCAAGTTTTTACCTCAATGTAATTATTTAACAAAATGTAATCTAGCTGAAAAATATTCTATGAAAAGGTAGTGGTGTGTGTTTTTTTTCTTTCATTTCTACTTGGAAGAAGAGGAAATAAAGTCTGAAAGAAGTTCGTTAACTTGTCAATAGACACAAAGGTAAAAAAGGTGGAGTTAAGGCTTGAAGGTAAATTTTCTCTTTCCCCCTCCAAGGTTTCAGGAGTCCACCAATTGCATATGTAACATTTTGAAACCTCATCACCGAGAAACATAACGTTCCAAAACGTTCGGGGACAGGAGGCAAGTGATGATGTTTGCGTTTTCCCACAGAAATGCTTTTGGAAAAATTCCAAGTTCACATTATTATTTATTGAGCCCTCATGCAGCAGCATGTACCTTTAAAATATATATATATATATACATATATATATTTGCATCGATTCCAAAGAGGAAGGGAGAGGGAGAGAAAAACATCAATGATGAGAGAGAATCATCAATGGCTGCCTCCTGCACGTCCCCTACTGGGGATCGAGCCTGCAACCCGGGCAGGTGCCCTGACAGGAATCCAACCGTGACCTCCTGGTTCATAGGTCAACGCCCAACCACTGAACCGCACCGTCAAGGCACAGTCCCCACTTTTGAAATGACTTTTTTCCGAGTCGCTGAGCGGTCCCAGGCAACTCTGAAATGAAATTATCCCAAGAAAGCACCTTCCCTGACTCTCCGGCTAAAGCAAAAACTTTAAGAGCCTGCATATGTCTTCCTCCTCGTGAAACCGAGTTTAAACAAGATCAAAGTGACTTAAATCTTTCAGGGTCTCCGTGAGGCACCCGGTGACTTACAGAGAGAGCCCTGAGACCAAGAAGTGTCACAAAATGGCACAGAAACGCCGGGGTCCAGAAAGGGGTCGGGGAGGGCGGGAGCGGCGGGTCGCCCGGGGCGGGAAAGAGGTTAGAGTTGAGGGTCGC